TTTTAATATTTTATTTATTAGATAAATGTATTATTTTAACTAAATTTATTAATAATAACATACAGTATATATTTAAAATATTGTTAATTGTTATATTGCGAAAAAATAAGATTTTGTTTAAATATAAATTATAATTAAAAATTGATACATATAATTGGTATTTTTTTTATAATTTATTTTATAAAATTTATATAAAAACAATAATATAGATAAAAATCTAAAAAATATAAATTTATATTTTAATTCTTTTAAAATATAAAAATGAAATTATTTTTTAACTTCTAAAATGTACTTTTTTAAAACTATTTCAAATAGAAATAAAAATATTATTTATTTTTGGTAGTTTTTAATATATATTTATGTATTTTTAATTATTTATATTTTTCTAATAAAATTTTTAAAATAAAGAAAATTTATCTTATTTTAAATTAATAATTTAAAAATAAATATTAATAAATAAATAATATAATGTTATTTTTTGAAAAATTCATATTAAATTACATCCACATCCTTTTTCTTAACTAATGTTTTAATTATATTTTTTCCAATTTTCAACATAATTAATTTCAGCGATTTTTTCATTTTATTTAAAACAAATATTATGATTTAGTTTTTCTCCTTTTTCAGCTGGTCTTATTTTATTTCCATTTGAATCACATCTAATTTAATTTAATTAATAATTATTTGTATTAGAAACATTTTTCTTTAAAATTCCTTTTATTTCGATTATTTAAGTTGATTTATATTATTTATTGTTTCTTTAAAATTCTTAATGATTATAATTTAATTATTATTTTTTATAATATTAATATGGATTACTATATGATCTTTCTAATTTATTATCTTCTGTTTATTTTTCAATAATTATATTAACTTAATTTTCTTTTATTTCTTATTATATATTTAATTCTTTTTGCATTTTTTTATTATTTGTTTAAATATATTAATAAGTTGTTTTTTTTATATATAAAAATAAAAAAAAATTATGATTTTTAATTTAGGGATAATATAATTTACTATAAGTTAAAAATAATAATAATTTAATCTTTAAAATAAATATCTACTTAAATAAACTATATGATGAAAAGGTAATAATAAAATTAAAAATATATTGTCAAATAATAAAAGCTAAAATATTTTAAATAAATTATAAAAATTAAAGATTTATATTCTTTAAAAAATATACTTTTATTATAAAATAATAAATTAATAAAAAAATAAAATAAAATTTTTTAAAAAAATTAAACCATGTTTATTATATTTAATTATAAAAAAATACTAAAATAAAAATTATGTATATAAAAAATTTTAATTTAATTTAAAAATAAATATTTAAAAAATAAAATGAATAGACCAAATTAAATTAAAAAAGCAAAATCATTAGCAATCTAATATAGCCAATAAACTAATGAAAAAGAAGAATCTAATAAAATAAACAAATTATAGAATTATTTATTTGATAAAATAAACGAATTTGAGGAATTTACAGTTTTAGATTAAGAAGAAGATAAGGAAAATATTTCTTAATAAAAAGGATTAAAGATATTATCAAAAGCAAAACAAATTGTAAAAATAAAATAAAATATATAAATAAAAAATAAATTAATAGATTAATAAAAATAAATAAAATAAATCCTAAAAAGAATACACATTTGTAACTTCTGTAAAAAATATTAATGAACCATAAAATAAGTAAAACTAATAATAATAATAAGAAGATGAAGATGAAAATTTTTAAGAAGAATTAGAAATAAATTCGAGTTTAGAAAGAGAATTTAATTTGTTTAAAATAAAGCAAGTAGAAGAGGATGAAAATTCATAAGAAGACGAAAATTTAAATGATGAAGATGAAAATAGTATATAATATATAGAAAAATAATATTTGAAAAAAATTAATTAACACGATGAACTTGAAGAATTAAAAAAAATGATAAGTTAAACAAAAAAAAATATAAAAGGTTATGTCGGAGAAGTATATGATTTAAAAAATTAAATAAGCGATTTAAATTTAAATTTCAAAGAATGTGGATATGGATTAGATGAAGACATTTTTATAGAAATGGATGATCATTTTAATAAACATATACCAGGAGGGGATACTAATAAACTGTTTGAGAATAAAATAGATATAGATAATGAAATTAATTAAAAATAAATAAATTTTTTTTAAATTTAAGAAGATAATAAATAAGATAAAAATTTTATCAAATTAGAAAAATAAATAAAAATTAAAACTTTTTAGAGAAGAAAATTACTGTCAGCATAAAATCATAAAATAAGTACGATAAATTAAAATATTAAAAATAATGATAATAATAGAAGTATAAATAATAATAATAATAATAATAATAATAATAATAATAATAATAATAATAATAATAGCAATAATAATAATATTCCTCAATTTAATGAAATAAAGAAAATTACTAGATTACCTAAATTTTCAGCCAAAACTATGACGCATACATTTTATTGAATATAATACTTTTTATCATAAACATTTTTTTTTATTATAATTAATTTATTTTTTAAACTATCTATTTTTTTTTAATTAATATTTATCATTAAATAATAAAAAAAATAAAATAAAAAATATATTAATTTTATATTTTTAATAAATATTTAAAAATTAATAATAATTTTTCATAATCTGTTATTTTCATTTTTTGAGTAATTTTCAATATTTTTTATCAAATATTTATGCAAGTTATCATCTTCACTATCTTGAAAATAAATATTTTAATTAAAAGTTTGTTTTGTTTTTAATAAATTTTAATATCTTCTTGAATAAATAGATATCAATGCTTAATTGTTATTATTTTATTCAATATCATTTTATTCTATATTAATTTAATTTTAGTTTTTTTGTTTTCTTTTATTCCAATAATTTCTTTCTATTTAATTTAGAATTTTATTTTAGATTCCAAAATATTTTTATTTTTATTATCATTTTCTTTTTCATTTTTATTTTTATTTTTATAAACAACTAATATTTTTTTATTAATCTCTTTAATATCAGCAGATTAATTTTACATAAAAACACAAAGAGAAATCGCAGCTAATGAAAAAAAAGCACTCAATGTAAGTATTTTTGCACATTTAACCATATAAAAGAGACTTTCTGAGAAATTACAAAGCAAATGTTTATATTAATATTCATTATTTTCATTATTACATTCATTCATAATATTAACTTTACGTTAATTAATATTTTCCCCATAAACACTATGTTCTGAAAAAGGCCAAATAGTTTAAAAAGTAAGGAATATTTACAAAAATAAAATTGCGAATAAAGATATGTAATAATTATTATGTTTTTATTAAGAAATTTTTAAGGATAAAATAATAAATAAAAGAAATTCAGTAAGTAAATTTGCTCCAAATTTACAGTTTACAAAAAACCAGAAATTCCTTTGGTCATAATTATTTGTTATTTAAGAAAATTATGTGGATAAAGCATATTTTTAATCTAATTCTCGAATATATTAAAAATGGAAAATGTCTAATGTGTTATATAAACTGAATGTATTTGTCGATAATAAGAGCATTAAGAAAAATATTTCTATTGATTTTTTTATTTGTAATGATTAGCCAAGATTTTTTTTCATTTTTTATATTTTTATAATATTTTTATTTATTTTAATATATATATATATATTTTGTTTTAGTTATATTATTTTAGTTAGTTTTTTCTTATATATTTAATATTAAAAATAACAATAATTAGTATTAATTTATTATTTTGTTTTCTTTTATTAAATAAAAATTAAAGTGATTCTTAAGTATATATTATTATTATTTTTAATATTATATATTTATTTATTTAAATATTTATTATTTTTATTTTACAAATATATATAATTAATTATAAATTAATATTTTTTTTAATTAAATTTTTTATAAGATAAATTATATATTTATATATATTATAAAATAATTATATTAACATCAATAAAAAAATAATTCTATAAATATTGTTTCGTGAAAATTGTCATATATTTTTATATGAATTATTTTTCTAAATTCTATATTTAATTTTATTTTGATTTTTTTTATTTAAAGTTAATAAATTTAATTATTAAAATCTTTATTAAGCAACCGAATTCTACTATAAACTAACATTTTACGATAAATTTTTTTTAGGAAAACATAATTATTACAAAGAAATACAATTATTATTTTTTAATAAATCAGAATCATTTTAACTCAAAAACTATTAAGAGATTTAATGTTTTATATCTTTAACTAACTAGGCCTCCTTATCATCAATTTAATTAATTTAACTATTAAGTATGCCCTGTTTTTATTTAATATGATAGTTAAAAAAATTATTATTTTATTCTAAAACTGATATAAAGTCTAATTCATTTATCTACTCATATTTTTAAAATTGCTTTTTTAAGGACTATAAAAATAAATTTTGTGAGTTTATTTTGAATTCACATTAGATAATAAGCCTTCTTTAGTGGTTTTTTAAGATAAAAGATCATTTGAATATTTAACATTACTACCTATAATTGATGAAGAAGGGCTAAAAATATTATTATTTACAATATTTTTAATAGAGGAAGTGAAGTAATTTTTTTTTAGAAAAAATTTTGAATTTTCTTTTTTAATATTTTATTATTATTATTAAGATTGTTATTGTTATTATTATTATTATTATTATTATTATTATTATTAAATTTTCTTTTATTAATCTTTTTATTAAATAATAATTTTATTTAATTTTTATGCTTCTAATAAACCTTTTTCTTTAGCTTTTTTAACTATTTTTTATGTTTCATATTTTGTGAATTTTTAAATATCTAACTATTCATCATCTAGATTTTTTAATACACTAGAAGTTTTTTTGAAATCTTATATAGATATCTAAGATGGTTATAATAATTTTTATAATTCTAAATTTGAGTTTTTAATTTGAGATTTTTTTTAAAAAAAATTATCTTATGTTTATTATTCATTATTATTTTAATTTTATCATTATATATATTTTAAATTAGCGAACCACTTGAAGATAATGAATGTTACAAAGAATTTTTCCTATTGAAAATATCCTACTCTAAATTATTAGCTTACATTAATCTATTTTTATCCTTTAAAGCTTTTTCATGAAAAGCCGTAATTCCAGTATTTAAACCATCAAAAGAAATTAACTACAAATACTTGTCGTATTTTTCACTATTCTTATTCCATTTTTCCCCTAGTTTTTGTTCAAAAGTCTCCCTATTTATTCTATAAGAAAGATAAGTCACCATAGCCGCAAATGTTTGTGGTAAATAAATATTTCTTTCGTCTTCAGTTTTGTTCTCGGCTTCTTTTTACCTAACTCCTCTTATTATTTACGAAAAAACACTATTTGCCTATGAAGATTTTGCACATTCTTTAAATTCTTTATAGTTTAAGGCGTTATCCTTATTTATATCAACAATTCTATACGTTTAATCTAGTTGTTCCTTATTTACTTCTATATTATAGTTTTGAACATTTAAACCATTTCATTTATATCTAAGGCACCGGAATTATCCTCGTCGAAAATTTGGAAAATTTTATGCGCTTTATAATCTTCGATAAGTTCTTCAGGATATAATAAATATTACCGAGGAGTTTTTTTAAAAAAACGCTTTTTTAACCGATTTACAGTTGACTTAGTATGAAGTTATGTCCGCTTATTTGTTTTTAGTTTGTTTTCGTATTCTGGGTTATCGTCAAATGGTTAGGTACTGCTCGGTTCAACGTATTTTTGGTATAAATATTTAACGTCTTCAGTTTATTATTCAGACATTTGCTTTTTTTTTTTTTTTACTTTTTTTTTTTTTTTTTTAGGAGACTTTTATTCTTAGTTTGCTTTTTTCTTGTCAGTTTTAGTTTTTTTTCGATTTTTATTTTTAATATATATGTAATAGTTAAAATAATTTTTATTATTAAAATGATTATTTTTATTTTTTTTTAAATATATTTTTTTTATTTATAAGCATTTTTTAGAAATCTAATAAAATGTATATTTTTTTTAAAAAAAATTATAAAATACCAATTATTTTAAAATTTTTTTAAAAAAAATATTAAAATATATAGTATGAAGATATATTTATATGAGTATTTAGATTATAATTTATTTTATGTAAATTTTAATAAAGTAGTAATTTAGCCAGATGTAAATCTGTAAAATAGTTTTTTTTGGTTATAGTTGAATATTTATAATTAATTTTAATCACTAATATTATTTTCACAATTTTACAATTAAATATATTTTTTTAAGCGCCTAATAAAAAGTATTATAATAATAATAATTATTTATTAAATATTAGTTTTACTCAAAACTAACTAAAAACCCTTTCTATATTAATTTTCTCATCTTCCAACTAATTTTATTCATTTAAAATAAAATAAAAACCTATATACTATATTACAACTTATTTTATATTTTCATATTTTACAATAAATAATTAACTAAACTATAAATAATAAGCAAATACCATTTCGGAAATAAAATAGGGGGACAATAATCATCTATATTATAACATAATCATGTACAAAAGTAACTACAACAATATAAAAAAACACTTATATTATATAATATATTAGATTACAATATTAGCATAATCTAATTATTTTGAATTGTTTTTTTATATTTACTTCTCGTTATTAGTCCCAAACTTACAATTAGGAAACATATTTTATGTTTATAAACATTAATATTTTGTTTCAAGTTTTCCTAAAATATAGTTCACATCTAGTCAGAATATTAATAGTATAAATATAAATATAATATATTTAAAACAATTAATATACCAAATTTATTCTACTCCTGACTAAGTAATTATAAACTAAGTAAAAACTGAAAAAGTAAAATACATATAAACTGTACACATATGACCTAAAAAAAGAAACTTTTACACAAGTAATACTAAAAATCATATAATAATATTTATAATAACAAAAAGACTCTAGCCTATTTAAGTTTTTCGAAAAAATACGAATCAATTTAATTTAGAGAAATTTTTAACAAATAAAAGTACTTTAGTGATAAAAGCGAATAAAAATAATTAAAAAAATAGCAGAAATATATAAAATTCTGCAAATATCGAATTTTTAAGTATTAAAAAAAAAGAGGGGGGGGGGGACGTAATATCTAAAATACTAATAATTATATATAGATTTTTATTATAAAAAAATAGTTAAAAATACATAATAAAACTACTTTCAAAACTAAAAGGAAAAAAAAAAGGCAATTATAAAATATATATATTTTATATTAAAATGGTAGAATATACAAACATTATATATTTTTATCAAAAAATACATTATACAATAAATATTACGAAATTAAATTATTTTTATAAAATATATATTTTTTAATATTATAATTATTATAAATATAAATAAAATTAGAATTGCTTATTTATTATAATAAATTTCAAACAATAAATTATTCTTTATTATCTATTTACTTTAATAATTTTTATTATTAACTTATAGTCATATTTCAGTTTTAAAATTTTATTTCATTTACTAAACATTTTAAACAAACTATTTTTATTTCAACTAAACATTATTCTAACTGCATCTATTTATTTAACCATCATTATTATTTTTAGCCTCATCAACCTAAAATATATCATTCTTTTAAATAGTTAAGTTCGAACTTTCTGTAAAATTAAGATTATATTTATTTTCTGGTTAATTGTTGTCAATTATTTTATAAATTTTTCTCATAGGAGCTGCCGAATTATTAATTAAATCAATTTTTATATTATACTCAAGAATTTCTTCTAAAATATTTTCAGGAACTTTAAACCAATCTGGTTTTTATAAAACATTTAATTAATCGAAGAGATTTTTTTAAGAAAAAAATAATTGTAATTTACCCGAAGAGGAAATTAATTCAGTAAAAAGTTAAAAATACTAAGAAAAACAAGTAGTAGTTAGAACCTAATAAGAGTCCAATAAAGAAAAGATTTCATAATATAAAAACCTAGTAAAAAATTAAAGAATCATGTAAAAGTAAAAAAGCTATATCTTATATAAAATAAATCGATGGATAAAAAGTCAAAAGTTATATTAAATTCGGTCTCATATTTAATATATAACTTAATAAATTGAAAATTTTAAATAGAAATAAAAAATTATTGTTATAATTTTTTAAAGCATTTTCATTTTTTTATTAATAAAAATCATGTTCAATACATCTTTTGTATACTTAATAGTTTTTGGAAAGTCTAAGTAAATAGTTTAGTATATAATTAATAAATTTTAATGTATGAAATCTTCTATGTTTAATATATGGTTTTTATTATTTTTATTTTAATTTATTTCTATAAAATTTAACAGGTTGTTTTCTTAAAATTTGTAAGAAAAATTTTCTCCTATATCTATTGTAAATTTATGTATGGAAATTAGTATCTTTAGCTTAACAAATAAAGGAAATTTATTTTATTAAATTATTTAAAAAAACTAGTTTAGTGCTAATTCGGAGGATACTTCTGGTTATTTTCCTTATAATATTTATTTTAGTTTTTATAAATCAGCATTATAGATTTTTTCTGTGTTATTTTTTGAAAGGCTTGAATTTAAAATTAATTAATGTAATTTTTTATTGAATACTTTTTAGTTTTTATCAAAAAAATTAATTATGAAAGCTGATACTTTATTCATAATTTTTTTTATTTATAATAAAAATATAAAATATAAAATCTTATATTAAATTTTAATAAAGTTTTATAAAATAATAGATCTAAAATTTTCATAACAAAGTAGAAATATAAATTAAATATTTTCAATTGTTATTATTTAAAAAAATTTAAATATATAAAATATATTGTAACTATTTATATTATGAAAAAAAAATTTGATTATCAAAAAAAAGAAATATATTTATTTATTAAAATTTAATCTTAATAATATTTTACATAATTTTAAATTTATATAAATAATAATAATTATTTTAAAAAAAAAATATAGTTAAATATTATTCTTATCAGTTACTAGACTATAAAAAAAATCAATCATAATAATTTTCTACAAAATAAGTAAATATTTACGATTTAATAAATTTCCTTAAAAAAGGTCTATCTTGTTCAAATGCTTTATTAATATATTCTTTTTGAAAATGAGATGATTCGACATCCTTTATTATATAATTATAATAT